TTAAACATCTGCTTCTGTTGTAAGAAAAATAGCCTTTATTTTAGAATCCCATGGGGCTTTCGATTCCACTCATTCAAATGAATGTATTTGCAATTTGAAGGAAGAATTAATAGGGCTGTTCGTTGAGTGAGAGAGTGAATGCATTTTAGCCAAACGAGGCTCTTGTTTGTACATATAAAATGTGAAATTTTGTATAAAAATTACAGTTAACATCTAATACCAAATGTTTATTACTAGTCTCTTAATTAGTTAACACAATTTTTCAATATCTTTTATTTTTTACATTTGAGTTTTGATTGGTAGCATCAAAGTTCTTTGATTTGGATATTGATTAACATGAAGCAGTATAGAAAAATAAGAAAATGTTTAGCTCTTTTATATTTCATACAGTGTTTTATATGAATAGAAAACCAATTACATTGATGATTGTATAATTTAGTGTTTATCATCAAAAACATATTTCTCATGTTTTTAATCTCTAAGGTGTTTCTGCTTTAAAGACATGTGTAAAGATTTCAGACACTAAATGGACATGTATTTCATAAAGCAAAGAGAAACAACTATGGTATTGTAAGGATCAAAAGTAGTTACCACAAAGAATTGGTTTTTTTTTGCTGTTTGTTTGTTTCAAAATACAGTATTTTGAAGAAATACGAATAGGTTTTCAAGCCTACAGATCCCCTCAGACATTGCCAATAAGTTTAAGAGTGGAGGAAATAAAAGCAAAAGATATAAAGTAGTAAATTTTATAATGAGACATTGTTTATTCCAGGGCATAAATGAGATTCATTGATGGATACTAAAGATATTTTCATAAAATGTAATATATTGAATGACTATTTTGTAATTTGTTTCAGTGGTTTTTCTTTTTAAACTTCTCAAGTAATTTTCATTCTGATAATTTATACATATTGAGAATTGTTTCCTTCAATATTTGTAAATGTTTCTTGACATTACCACCTCGATACTCTTAATCTTGAAAAAAAATTTTGAAATCTATAAGAAAAATCAAGCATTCCTTTAAGTTTGTTTGCATATCGCTCCATTCTCTGCTTGTAAAAGAGAGAATTATACAGGATTTTATTTGAAAGCACAGATTTGTTTCATTCATTTTTGAACTACCCTTTATGAATTATCACAGGATAAAAACAATCACAATCAGTACACCAAACAGCAGCAACAAGCCCACCGAGAAACAAAGGCATTTGGGGAAGGGCAAGGAGCAAGCAGGCAGCTTCTTCAGTTGATTTTTGTTGATGGTTGTCTACTGGAAGTCTGTAAATACAACTGGGTATAGAAGCAGTCAACACAAACTTGCACTTCTGTGGAGTATCATGTGAATACAGAATACACTGGGAAAAATACTCTTTGAAGAAACAGCCTTTGATGAACTGCATCCCATAAATTTTATACTTACTATATAAAAAGAGATAAACTGAAAAGCCAAGTCATTTTCTGAGTTAAGAGCAAAGACTTGTTGAAATGACATGGTTTTTCTTTTCACTGGAGCTTAAAATCTGAGGTGAGGCTTTTGGAGAGTTGGGTTATAGCTTTTCAAGTGTATTGACAATAGCAAGAAACAGTCTTGTTTAGCTTCTGAGTAGGTTTTTTTTTTCCCCCTCACCTTTCAGCGATTATTGTTAAATACTGCTTTCAACCTGTTGTAACATAATGAAAATGGCTGTCAGCAATTCAGTTCTTACCACCAATCATGTAAGCTTGATGTAGGAATATTCGCTAAGATTACACACCACCACCATCAGCAGACAGCAGCAGCAGCAGCAATTGTTGACAATAATGAATAAGTTGAATATCAGACATGAAAGTAGTACACAGTTGGACTTGAAGAATGTTGGCAGTTACTGAAACCTTGTTTCCTCACCCTGCTCCTGCCCTGCCAACTCTTAGGTAATATTCACAACAATCTGAAGCCTAATATCCCCCGCATGTATTTATTTATTTACGCATTTACTTAACAAACACTTATATGACATCTATTATGTGCCAGGCACTGTTCTAAGTGCTTAAGAAAACCTAATAGGGTACACATTCTTATTTTCTTTAATTTGCAGATGAGAATACATGGACAAAGTAGCATATTATTACTTTCCCAGTGCCAAACGCTATAAGTATTTGAACTCAGGTAGTGTGCCTCTAGAATCTGTACCCTCAACTACTGAGCTATAGAGACTTCTACTTCTCCAGTTGAAGAGTTTTGTTAAAGTGTGTCCCTGACTGACAGACAAAATAAACCCCCTAAAAGTTAAAACAGAACCAGGTGGCCATAACTTGGTGAGGGAGTAGTAACATACTCTGTATTCTTAGAACCATGTTGTAAAAGTACCATAGGACCTCCTGTATTAGCTTGCCACATAGAACATATAATCCTAGCATTAATTTTTGAAGAAAGAGGGGAAGAGGAGGAACAAAAGAGGAAGAGAGAGCAGGAAGAAAAGAAGAATAATAGAATGAAACAAAGGGCACAAAATAAAAAATGTATTGAGGTGATTGGACCTGGTGAATATTCTGAAACATTCAAGTCTGTTCAGAAGCCAGATACAATCAAGCCAAACCAATTCCTGTTGTTGATGTCAACATAAACTGTGGCTGGAACACCACCTCCTTCCCCCCTCAACACAATACACTGGGGTATTTTGAAAGAAAGATCTACCAGAGACTTCTGATTTGGGGCTCACAAACCAACCAATCACAGGTCACTGCCAATAAGGGCTCAGCTATGTTGACCAATCAGAGATCAGCACCAATCAGAACTAAGTGAGTTTCAGTGGAATGTGAACCTGGGCAGAAACATTTGCTGTAAAACTGGAACCTTCTGTGTGTTCTTTGGAATGTATCTTCATCTTTCACTGATAGCTGCTGCCTCTTCAAGGCTTCCAAACTGTTCACAGGAATAATGACTTTCCTCCAAATTCCTTTGTTGTTGTTTCGGAGACTGGATTTCACTCCTGTGCCCAGGCTGAAGTGCTATGGTGCTATCTTGGCTCACTGCAGCTTTCGACTTCTGGACTCAAGCAATTCTCCTGCTTCTCAGCCTACCAAGTAGCTGGAACTACTGGCACATGTCACCACCCCTGGCTAATTTTTACATTTTTAGTAGAGACAGAGTTTTGCCATGTTGCCCAGGCTGATATCGGACTCCTGGGCTCAGGGCATCTGCCTGCCTTAGCCTGCCAAAGTGCTGGGATTACAGGCATGAGCCACCACGCCATACCCAAATGTCTTTTCAAATAACTTTTGTTCACATTCTATACAGACAGACAATATTTGAATATACTACAGTAAAAAAGGAACAACATATTGATAGCCATGACTATATTAACTCGAAACAATATAAAGGTCTTACAAATTGCTGACTGGTCTTGTAAATTGCTCGAAGGCGAACTAAGACCTATTATATTTAGTGGAAGGGGAAAAAGATTTAAAACCCAGGCTGTGAGGGAATCTAGAAGGCTTCAGAAAGGCTCTAGGTATGTTTGCAAAAGGGAATTATAGAGGGTAAGATGGGTGTTCACGTGGACATCTGAACAGACTTGACTATTTTAGAATACTCACCATGTCTAATCACCTTACTACATTTTTTAAAATTTTGTGTACTCTGTTTCATTCTGTTATTCTCTTTCTTCCTCTTCTTTCTTCTTCTAATTCTTCTACCCTCCTCTTCCGCCTCTTCTTCAACAATTAATGCCAAGATTATATGTTCTATGTGTCAATCTAATATTTTACTTTTTGTTAAATGAATACAAAGCACAAAAGTTCTCATACTAAGCATACACATTGTGATTTAGAGTGACAGTCCTTGGGTACATTCAAATCCACATTGGTGTGTGGGTTTGCATTAGCACACACCCATAGTGTTGTATTTTTGTTTTTAATTGAATTAAAATGCTTATCAGCCAGGATAAGCGTTTTACAATAACACATACCATACACATCTCAGCAGTTTAAAATAACGTTTTATCTGTTACTCATGTTATACATTTATTAGGGGAGGACAATTGCACTGTATTGTCTTCATTGTCTTCACTTTTGATCTGGCTTGATAAAGCATCCACTAGCCTGGATTATCATTTACCATAGCAGAGAGAGAAAAGAACTTTGTCAAGGTTATACATTTACAATTAAGATCTAGTTTACAAATCATCCACCAGAGTTAGTCATATGGCCCTGTCCCATCACTAAGGGCCAAGCTGTGCCATCCCAGCACATGCCCAGAAGGCTAAGAGCCCCATGACCCAAAATAGCAGACTTGAAAGCCAGAATAATTCATATGAAGATGGGTATTTCTTTAGAAAAATCAGAGGATTTGACAACATTGCTCCACAACCCTCACTAGGAAAGGGTTAGAGCCGAATAGTAGGTGTCACCTTTATATAAATTATGTGGCACATCTCCCATTTAGCATGACCTCCTAATCTCCCTGATTAGTTTCCCATGATTATATTTATTGTTCTTGCACTGTTCTTTTTCTTATAGAGAGTTTAAAAGGAAAGTATCTGTGGCCATATTTATTAAAAGTGAAAAAATAAAAGATGCACGCACACAAAACTTAAAGCAGAACAAAACCAAAATCTCTCAGGTTTCAAAAAGAATGAAATAGTATTTTTTTTGAGGAAGTTAAAAAAATGTTTCTGATTGCTAAATGTTATTTAATCTTGGGGAAAAATATCTGTCAAAATTTACTTGATTTGTTCTCTGAGGATATTTAGATGATCAACCACTGGTCTAAGTAAATCTAAGAATCGGGTACATGCAGATCAACTTATTTTTTATTTTTTTCTTAAAGCATCTTTTAAAATTTCATCTAGGGTTTACATTTTTTTTTGAAAGTGATTTATTTAGAGAGAGAGAAACAGGAGAAGGAAAGAGAAACAGCTAACTCTCACACTGAGTGAGAGAATCCAGAAAGATGGAATCCAGGAGAGGAAAGCACCTTCCACACTGAGTGGAAGAGAATAGAGAGATGGAGTTTAGAAGGGGAAGAAAGCCTTCCATGAGAGAGTGTGGAAGGGACCCCAGAGGGGAAATCTAGGAGAGAAAAAAACGGCTTCTACGAAGGGATTGTTTGTGGAAGGGGAGCCAAACATGGAGTCCCTACATTTTTGTTTTGTTTTGTTTTGTTTTGTTTTGTTTTCACTAACATTTTTTAATTGTGGTAAAACACATATAATGTACTATCTTACTTAATTTTAAGTGAACAGTCTGGTAATATTAAATACATTCATAATTTTGTGCAATCATTACCACCATCCATCTCTATAAATCTTTCATCTAGTAACATGGAAACTCTGTACCTACTAAACAATAACTTCTATTTCTGCCTCATCCCAGCCACTGGCAATCACTATTCTACTTTCTGTCTTTATGATTTAAAAAAAATTTTTTAATATTTCATTGCACTTTAGGTTCTGGGGTACATGTGAAGAACATGCAGGATTGTTGCATAGGTACATACATGGCAATGTGATTTGCTGACATTTTAAACTTATTAAATATACACATAGTGTTACAAACAGAAATTACAGTAGTTCAGCTTTGAAAAGAGCATTAGTGCAGATAGAATCTAAAACTATGTATATGATGCCATGCCTTTTTCCTTTTGCTATCTGGATTGTTCTTAAGGATATTATTTTCTCTAAAAAAAATTCTCAGGAAAATTCCGATATATCTTTATCTGACAGTGATAGGAAGAGAGTTGAATTTAGTCAATTATTTGCCAGATAAAACACTTACTAATGTAAGTAGACTGAATGTAAATTTTATTGTTTAAAAGAACATTTGTCAGCTTAACGTATTTGAAGTTTAGAGGAATGATTTTTGGAATTTATGAATGCATGATTGAAAGTAAGATTAAAATATTTTCCTAGTGGCACTGGACACTACTGAAGTTAAACCATAATAAAATACTATTTACATTTCATGTAAGTGGATGATCGATTCTGAATGATGTACATTTTAGGAATTGATCTATAGAATCTAAAAATTGATCTTTCACTTACCACTACTGTGAGATGACCTCTACATATTGCAGAGAATATTTTCTACCTTTTACTATAAAGTTGGGATGAAATGTGGCTATTTTACTCTGAATATGTAGTGTCATACTTTATATTAAAATTTAGATGGCTTAGTATGTATTGCCAATTCGTATGAATGGCTAGACAGATGAGTGAATAATTTTAAGGAATGACAATTCAATGTGTTACTCCTTTCAAGTGAAAGCTGTAACAACTCATTCTGCCTACTGTACTTTTAGAAGCTAATATAAGTTCAATTTCTTTTCATATTTCAATTGTAAGTGAATTTTAAATGCCTGGATTCCTTCATCTCTTACAGTAACATTTCCCAAAATATTTTCTAATGTGCATGTAAAAGACTGTTTGGGAAAAAATATATAGTAGATTGGCTTTTGTGGGGTTAATCAAGAATGGATAGATAAAAAGACACTGTCCTTAAAACAGGATTGTTAAACATTTTTTATGAAGGTGTATCTCATGAGTTAAATATGATAGGTACCAATTTCTCCTTTTCTAAGGCAATGGATTTGATATCACAGCATATTCAGGGCTATACCAGTATCCATATTTTCTGAAGAAAGGGAATTGGGGATGGTGAGCCCTTTAAGAACTTTCCTTGGATATATTACGTACCAGCTTTTGCATATTAAGAAGGACATTTTGATCACAATATAGAGAATCCCTAAGCAATTAATTGTTTCTTGTTGTTTTTCTCACATTGATTTTCATCCCTAATGTCCCAAGGGTTTTCTGCTAGGTGCTTTTCTTTTACTCCATCAAATTTTGGTTTTCAGTATTTTAGTATTTCATTATTTTAATCTGTTTGCTGTATTTCTTTTCTTTTGTCTTTTCTTTCGAAATAGCCTTGCTCTGTCACCCAGGCTGGAGTGCAATGGTGCAATCTCAGCTCACTGTAACCTCCACCTCCCAGATTCAAGCCATTCTCCTGCCTCAGCCCCTCAAGTAGCTGGGACTACAGGCACATGCCACCTTGCCTAGCTAATTTTTTGTATTTTTGGTAGAGATGAGGTTTTACCGTGTTAGCCAGGATGGTCTTGAACTCCTGACCTCGTGATCCGCCCACCTTGGCCTCCCAAAGTGCTGGGATTATAGATGTGAGCCACCATGCCTGGCCTGAATTTCTTTTCATATATGTTCTTACTAGTTTTGTGACATGTATAGCATCTCTTGATAGGAATATGCTTATTATTTTAGTATTCAAGAAATGGTCTGGAAAATCTTGAATCTTTCACTTGACATTTTTTTTCTTGTTTTTTCCCTGAGATTTTTGAACTTTACTTTCTTGATGTTATACACAACTACTTAATATCCTGTATAATTGTGTCATTTTGTCCCAAGGTCTCAATGAAAGAAATCAGCCATTTCTTTCATGGCTGAGGCAGAATGATGTTGAAAGAGCTACCTCTCATTTCATTGCTTTTCAACCTCCTGAGAGACTGTCAACTAGGCAAGTAAAACATTTATCACACCCTCTACTCTTAACTGTATGAGAATATCTAGCTAGTTAAAGGATTTCTCTATGTGGCATCAACTCTGAGTTAATTTTCTCTTCACTAGGAGGAAAGCAATATTTACACAAACTCCCATTTAGCCATCTTTCATCTGTCTGTAGCCTCAGAGCATAGTGCAGTATCATTGTTCAGTACATGTTTGTTGAATAATATAATAAATGGTTGATTCCAGTTCAGTCTGCTATGTACTAAAACTTTTTTTGTGTCTCCCTTTCTTCTTTTATAAATTTTTATTTCTATTTTTAAAATTTATTTTATTATCAGGACCACAAGCAAAATACGTTGCAGCCTCTTAATTCTTACACATATGCTTTCTCCATGTTCCCCCTTGAGGTTTACAGATTTCAGTTCATGTCTCCTATATGTCACACAGCATTGTTTTCAAGGTGGCCTGCCTTGTTATTAATGTATTAGTCATGAGTTCTAACCAGTGTCTTAGAGAAACCAATGAGAATTTGTTTACTACACGTATTAAGTTTTCAACCTAATTTTATTTATTATTCATATTGTATAAATATTTATTCTCCTCTTTGAAGTTTTAAGTATTGTATCAGACAGCCTTTCAAATTAGTTACAACTGAGAATGATGAGTTCTTCCTCCAAATTATTCTTTTTGGGCTATGTGTATTGTTCATAACATCCCATTGTATAGTTTTATTTGAGCTTTTATCACTTCTTTTTTGCATTTCAGTTTAAGAGATCCTGCTGAATGTCTATTTTATGATCTCAAATATTTGAATTATAAGTTGCTTCTACTATAAGAAGTCACAGCAATTACCATAAGAATTCACATGTTTAAAAGATGCTTTCCCGGCTGTAAAAGTGTCAGTTTGTGTTCATTGTACAGGTAGTTAAAACGTGTGTTGTAGATTTGAACAAAGACCTTTTAACTTAGACTCAAGAATATGTGATTATTAAAACACACTCACATCTCAAATCCTCGGTTCTCTTATAATGTCATGACCTTTAACTACAAGAAGAGATACAAATACTGCATATTCTTACAATACTTAAGCCATTAGAGGGGCATTTTAGATTTCTTCAGGCTTTTTCACTTATTCTCAGAGGATTATCTAAATTGATGAGTGAATATAGGGTGGGTTTGATCCATTTGGGTAGGAAGAGAGCAAACTTCTCTATTAGCTGTCAAATATACATCAATATGTGATGCCTTCCCATATTTAAGAATAGTCCACTAAATCATTTCCCAGTATTCTGTTGATCTAGTGACTTCAAGTTTTGTGGTACATAGAATATTATAGCTTAATCAAAAAGGTAAGTGGCTACCTTCTTTGAGAAAGTTTTATACCTGTAATGTAACTTCATAAATCCAAAGATACATAATAGAACAGTGGTCTTCAACCTTAGCTACATATAAGGCTTATTCTTTTGGGGCTATATGTATAGCTCATAATTTTTAAAAGCTTCTGAGATGATTTTAATTTGCAACCAATTTCAAGAACCACTGATATGATGCAGTGCATACGGATCACCTATGGATCTTCTTAAGATGCAGACTCATCTTCAGGGGGTATATCAGTGGGGCCTGATAGTTTGCATTCCAAATAAGCTCCCAGGAGAAGCTGATGCTTCTGGTTCATGGACCACACTGGAATAGAAGCTGTGTAGAATTTCTTTTTTTTTTTTTCCTCTTTGTCATAATCTTCTACTCTCCAGAACTTGGATGCTTGTTTTAATTCCGTCCTACATTACTAGAGTTTTATTTTTTCTTTCCCACTTTGCTTGTTAGCTTTTGCTCACAAGTTTTTCTAAGAACTTGTTTCTAATAAACCAGAACATAGACGTTCCTCAACCCTTGTGCTTTTTCTAGCAGGAAGGCCAACTTGTATTTATAGTGCACATAATTGGTGCATGCTTCAGGCAGAAAGATAAATATAACTCTGGTCACTGGAAGGTTTCCTTCAGTGGCCCTATCTTTTAGGTATGAAGTTGAAAAGTTGTCTTTTATAGCTCCCCTGGGAATCCTTCTTGTTAACTTCTGGGACAAACTGTATCCAAGTGATCCAGGCAGCCATCCCTCCTTGCAGCTAACCTCTACTTAATTGCTTGTTTTTGATAATTAGCTCTAAGTTGCCCTAGTTTCTTGAACTTTGAAAGCAATATTCCAATATTCAGTATTCTGTTTTAAAACTGAAAGCCTTTTCTGTCTCTTTTTCTCTTTCCCACTTACCAAGAGACTTTCAGATCTCTGAACTTTGTTAAATGGTGTTTCTCAAATATGATTGTGTGTGAGCATCATCTGGGCTGCTTATTAATGATTCCTGACTCCATATTCAGAGATCCTGATTTGGCGAGTCTTTAGTAGGCTCCAGTATCTGCATCTTTATTAGGGCCCCACTAAGGAGTCTTTTGTAAGCAATCCAACCTTGGAGAAACACTAATTTGACCTGGCTTCTGAAGCTTTAACATACGTTAAAATCACCAGATAACCTTGTTACAATGCAGATTGTGGCTTAAGGATAAAGTATTTCTGACAGACCCTCAGGTCTAAGAGGCTACAATTACTCTAGGTACTAAAGCTTTAGATCATGTAATTAATACCATGCAATTCAAACTGACAAGTGTACAGACTGACAAGTGTACATTCCTTTAATCTAATAAAGGATATTTTTAATCTTATGGTTAAAATATAAGCTTCCTTTTTTTGTTTGTTTTTTTGAGACAGAGTCTTGCTCTGTTACCCAGGCTGGAGTGCAGTGGCATGGTCTCAGCTCACTGCAACCTCTGGCTTCTGGGTTCAAGCTATTCTGCCTCAGCCTCCCAAGCAGCTCGGATTACAGGTGTGCATTACCACACCTGGCTAATATTTTTGTATTTTTAGTAGAGACAGGCTTTCACCATGTTGGCCAGGCTGGTCTTGAACTCTTAACCTCAAGTGATCTTCCCACCTTGGCCTCTCAAAGTGCTGGGATTACAGGTGTGAGCCATCATTCCTGGCCCCAACATAAGCTTCTTAAAGGCAAAAAATATCTCAATTCATAGAATACCAAACTAGGTAATTAATCCAGATCTTTTGCCTAAGCTCAACTCAAGGGCCCAAACGTTCAGCTGTAACTCATTTTGTTTAAAGAAAAATTTAAACGTAAATTTATTTTTAAAAGACAATTCCTCAAGATTCTAGAACTAGAAATACCATTATTGGGTATATACCTAGAGGATTATAAATCATTCCATTATAGAGATACATGCTCATGCATGTTTATTGTGACACTGTTCACAATAGCAAAGACTTGGAACCAACCCAAGAAAATGTGGCACATATACACTACACCATGGAATACTATGCAGCCATAAAAAAGGATGAGTTTATGCCCTTTGCAGGGACATGGATAAAGCTGGAAACCATTATTTTCAGCAAACTGACACAAGAATAGAAAACCAAATACCACATGTTCTCACTCATAAGTGGGTGTTGAACAGTGAGAACACATGGAAACGGGAACATCACACATTTGGGGCCTGTTGGGAGGTGGGGGGCCAGGGGAGGGATAGCAGGGGGTGGGGGACTAGGAGAAGGGTAGCATTAGGAGAAATACCTAATGTAGATGACAGGGTGATGGATGCAGCAAACCACCATGGCACATATATACCTATGTAACAAACCTGCACGTTCTACACATGTACCCCAGAACTTAAAGTATAATAATAATAATAACAAAAAGAATAAAAGAAAAAAAAGACTTGACTCTCTAATTTTTCTCAGGTTTCAACTAACTCTGAAAGCCTTTGAGTCTGGCAATCTGCTAAAATCCATTGCTTTTTTCTCCTATGGCTCAGGAAGAGAAGGCTGTTGGTCAGCATCACACTGCTAATTGTTGAAGAGCTAGGATTGGGCCTGAAACTTGTCACAAGGCTGGGACAAGTTTGAGCTTATTTGTTTATTGCTTAAGTGAAATCTGAATCATGATGCTGATTTTGAAGGTTCTCTGGATATGTAGAACTTATAAAAAGACATAGGCCCTGTTTTGCTTTAGTATTAAACATCAAAAGTTACAAAAGACTGCTCTGGAGATTGATTGTTGATGGAGATAAGGTTGGTCTTTGCCTTTTGCTTGCTTTAATAGATTTAACATAAGAGAAAATTATCTAAAAGCCTCAATAAACTGGCATTTCTCATGTTGAAAGGAAGCCTCAGCTCTTCAGAAACATTCTTTGCAGGTAAGAAGAAGTTCTTTTCCATCATTTGTGGAATGTATTACAGTGAAGAAAAATAAAAAAAATAAAAATAAGAGGAAAACAGTCAAAAAGTCTGGTATGGACTGAGTAGACATTTTTGAAGCCGAATAAAGCTGGATTCAATCAAAATCCTGCTACCTTCTGTAGGACAGATCCTAGGCAATTTATTTTTTCATCTCTCACTGATTTTCCTATCTCTGAAATGGAGATAATAATAGTTAACTATAGAGCTATATGTAATTATATAGCATGATAAATATATCTATAACAAAACACAGCAAAGAGTAATCATTATCTTCATAGATTTGTTTTCTTACTATAGCTTTCTTATTATAGCTACTGTAAATTCTCGTTTTTGCATATTTGCTTTCTCTGAGTAAAAGGCATAATTTTAGTATATTTAGTCTAGTTAAATCTTGGCAGTTTTACATAGTTTACTTAAAAGACAGAAATATAGATCGAAGAGTAATAAAAACATTCAAACATATATACATATAACATTTTTATGTATGTATGTATGTATGTATCTATCAAACCTTTTTAATAAAAGCCAGCTCAGTTATTCAGAATAAAATTTATGAGAAAGACAAAATAACTTGCACTGAATTATAAAACTGAAGATTATTGGCTTTATAGAAAACAATAATTTGGGTAGATAAAACATTTCCCTGAAACATTTGCTATAGATTGTCTAGTGTTTATTGTTCTTCTTGAGGAAAATTTTGGACAGTGGAAAAGCTGCTAGTCTATAGTGGAGAGTTTTCTAATTTTTTCTGTGTCCTTGGAAAAATGATATAATATTCATTTATTTAACCCAAGAGTTCTCCACCAGGGACAGTTTGTCCCACCCCCACATGTGAAGGGGGGATATTTGACAGTGTCTGGAGACATTTTTGTTTGTCTGACCAAGGCAGGTCTACTACTGGCATCTAGGGGATAAAGACCAGGAATACTACTCAACATCTTGCAATGTATAGGGCAAATTCTCCACAATATAGAGTTATGAGATCCAAAATGTCAGTGTTACTGAGGTTGGGAAATCCTGATTTAATCTACAAATTGGTTAAAACAAATGATACATAGTTTAAAAACCTGTGGTTCTAAAGCATGCTTTCTTCATGGGGCAATATTGTTTTCAAGGAAGCAAAGCATTGGTTCTTAGTGGGTGAAGGAAAAATCTTAGGTATTACAATAGATAGTGGCCCTCCAAAGGTCAGTGCTACCCACTGATATGAAGAGAGATATAGTATATTTGTTTTTCATAGAATTTCATTGAGGTAGGGGTGGGGACAATTAGGGAAAAATGTGTGATTAGGCTACTTAGTGGTGATAATGAAAAAAAGTTGAGAAACACTGCTTTATTTTATAGATACATGATTTCAGGAAAATTTTTAACTCATTAAATCATGTCCACATGCTCTACCATATTCTTTCCCCCTTTTGTGGCTTTCAGGCACCATAATAGTTAGATCATGGGATCTGGCAGCAATAAAGGAACTGTTTCACCCAAGAACTCCTGACCACCCCTAGGCTTCCTTCTGACTTTTACTTTATTTTATTCTTTTTTTTTTTTCAAGGCAAGACCTCACTCTGTGGCCCAAGGTAGCATGCAGTGGTACAACCATGGCTCACCACAGCCTCAACCTTCTGGGCTCAAGTGATCTCCTGCCTCAGCCTCCCTAGTAGCTGGGACTATGGATGCACTCAACCACTCTGGACTAATATTTTTAATTTTTAATTTTTGGTAGAAATCGGGCTTACTTGTTGCTGAGACTGAACTTAAACTCCTGGTCTTAAGTGATCCTCCTATCTTGCCCTCCCAAAGTGTTGAGATTACAGGCATGAACTATTGTGCCCAACCCCTCTGACTTTTAATATTTCAACCTAATCCTCCCACACACCCACTCATTGTCACTTGGTCTTTCTCAGATGCACCTCTCTCCTCCTCTTTTATTTCTTTGGTCAGTTATTCATTCTACTATCAAGTCAGAAAATAACCCTACACCTGATACATCTCTGTCCAGGGAAAAGAAAGTCAATAGTTTCAAGGAATATCGGGTATGCAGACGAGCTACCCGATTTTGTATTGACAGTGTCAAATACTCTTCAGAATCTCTACTAATGTCTTCCATCTTTTCCTTCACCTGCTTTTCCTTAAACACCAATATTAAATTCGTCCAATCAACCAATATTGCTTTAGTGCCTCCCATAGGTAGGGCACAGTAAATTCTTTCTCTTGGGAAATTTACATTCTAAAAGAAGAGCCAAAAATAACCATAAACATAACAAGTAACTAATACAGTATGGTAAATAGTAAGTGCTACAGTAAAAATATACAGCAGGATAATGGAGTCTTGGAGTTGCTGGAATTTGAGGGTGGTTTGCAGAATTAAATAGAGTGATCAGGGTTTACTTAATATTGTATAGCAATATATTTCTTGATGATAGCTAAAAAATAGCTAACATCTTTTAAGAACTTAATATATGATGCTTACATTTAATTTTGATGAAAAATATCTGTGAAGTAGGTACTATTTGTTATCTCCATTTTTACAGGCCACCAAAGCAGAGAACATAGGCAACTTTCCTAAGTTCATAAAACTTTCCTAAAGCTCTTTTAGGAAGTAGCAGAGCCACATTTAAACCTAGGAAGGCCTGCTCTAGGTGCTACCCCTGACTACTGTGATATGTCTCATTTCTATTGAGTTTAATGGAATTACAATGGAATTCCTGTTTAATCACGTTCCATAGGTAATATAGCACAGTGATTGTAAAAGAAAAACATCACACCTGACATTTATTAACAATGGTAAGGAAGACTTTAAGATTGTTGTGACAGGAGAGATTTAACTCAACTCTGAACACAGCAAAGACTGCTGGAGATGTATAGCCAAAGAGCAGAGTGAGGGGGTCAGTGGATGAGAAATTACTAAGAGGAATTTGATTCAATATCAAGGGTAGGATGATTTGGTCGAGGAGGGGAGTGCCTGCCATGGTTAAGAGAGTGGACCCTGGCACTGACCTGGTGGATCTAATTCATGGCTCCCACTTAACCAGCTGAATGACCTCAGGCAGGTTACTTCAGCTGTTTGTGCCTTCGTTCTCCATGTGTACTAACTCAGAGGGTTGTTGTGAGGGCTGAAGTAATTTTAAGCACCATTTATTTACTGAATATTCACCATGTATTATTCTAGATACTGTCCTTATATTGCCAGTAACTGACACAACAATACTGTGAGATAGATATTATTGCCCCTATTTTATAGATGAAGAAACTGAGGCACATGTAGCCTGTTTAAAGATTCAAAACAAGCAAGTGAAAAGGACTATGTATGATTTTGTTTCTAACTGATCTGCCTTTTCTGTTATTTTTTCTTTCATTAGCTACTTTATGATAAATGAGTGTTGTCACAATATTGTGAGAAATAAAGGAAGCACCTGTCTAGAATTTTCTCTGGAGAGAAAGCATTATGGCTAATTTTTTTGGCTTTTAAAAATTGCATCCAGTCTCAGAAAACATGTCTCTTTTCCTTTCAAGGTTCACCTTCCACCTCTCTCCTTGATCCCAGCATCTCCCTCTCCTCTGAGACCTAAGGCATGTGCCAGAGTTTTCTCTCTTGCCCTTGCTTGCAGGTTTTACCCTGTCACTGATGGCTTATTCCCTTGTACCTGTTACATGCTCGAATCTCTTGCATCTTCAACCATATGACTCACTTTAGATATTACCATGTGTTTCTCACTCTTTCCCTTCCCAGGCATCCTTATTGGAAGATCTATTTGCAGATGCTGCCTTTTCTTCCTCAGCTACTGTCTGCTTTTCAGCCTCTCCAAATTCTGCTTCCACTCCTCATCACTAGATCTCACTGCACTTGACCTGTCCCTGGGAATTATGCTGTGGACACTTTTTTTTTTTTTTACCAGAAACTCCTTACTCTCTTAATTTATGAGATACACTTCTCTCATGGTATTCCTCTTACTTTTCCAGCCATTTCCTGTCAACCTCTAATGCCCACAGCAAAATGATGATATAGCTCATGGTTTCACCTTGCCAGTCTTTTCTGCCCATGCTGCTTATTCTCTCACTACCATAAGGTGTACCTGTTTCATAGATCTGCAACCAGATAGCCCTCCTGATCCACGTGTTATCCTGCTGTCCACTGAATAGCTCCACAGACTATCGCATCTAAAAGTAAACTTACATTTTCGTAAACTTACATT